CCCCAAAACCCCAAAACCCCATAATTCAGAATATTCAAAAAAGGGAAATAAATATTCTTATTAAATAAAACTGATAAACAGACTGAAATGGATAAATTATTTTACAAGCTAGGCGATCCTTATTATAATCCAAGATATGATATGCAAATAAATAACAGCCCTATTTCTAAGTGTAGTTAACAAAAAGAATTGTCCTTGGGTATTTCTAGATTTCAACAAATATTTTAGAAATCAGAGTTCTGGGAGGGTATACATTCTATCCCAGATCATTATGACAGTGATAGCATTATAAAAGGAGTAGAGATGCAGTATAAATTCAATTGGATATTGTCGATTAATTTATATGCAACTACATTAGCTTATTAGACAAAAATCAATATAATTGACAATATGCTATCAAGAATTGTGGAAAAATATTTTTCATTAGCAAGCTATAATATGACAAATAAGATGAAACTAATAAAGAAAAACTTTGATTTGATGTATTTTCTAGGAAAATAAATTTAAGAACATGCTTCTTAAATTCTTTAACCAGAGTAAAGCTATGAGTTCTAATCACAATCCTATAGGATATTATCAAGATGAGGCTAGCGGATGGACATAAAAATAATTAAATCTCCAAAATTTCCACATATACTGAACTAAATATTCAGTACTAAACTTCAAAAGTATTAAATGACCCAAAGGGAGTATATCAAGAACTAAAGAGTTTTCTTAGTCCTACTTGGAGATATTCTTGTATATATCTTAAACTAAGTGAAGGAATTGCATAAATTGGTGTTGGTCCACAGAGATTTTAAATATGAAATATTTTGAAGAATAGACAACCACTAGAAGTGATGGTAATATATTTCAATAGCTCTAACTCACTCCAGGGTATTTTACATTCATAGATTAGGCTGGTAAAGATATTTGAAACATCGGCCAATAGAAGGTGTTATTTTAGAAGTACTATAGGTGTTAACAGAACTTTATACCAAAACAAAGATAGAAATAATTTCATGATGCAAGTAGGAAATTAAAGGGACTCTGAAAATTCCAGCTCCTTGATCAAATAATAGATGTTACAATCGATAATGAGCAATAATAGAACGAATATAATAGATAAGCTTAGTAATAGCAGCAATAGTTGTAGTAATACCAGCCAATGTCTTAATTCACAGGAGAATATGAATATTTAAAACTCAATCTAACTTTACCATAATAGCAGTCTCAGCACCAAAATCAAAGCTAAGCTGAGATCATAATGAAACTGCTTCATCAATTAAGTTTTAAAAGTTTCATAGTTGCTAATCATGAAGATAGCATCAAATTTAAAACAATTAAGCATTTATCAACAGATCAAAGAATGTTAGAAAACATCAATTTAAGAGAAAAAAGCATCAAATCTAAACTTGCAGATGTAGCTTTAAATTAACAATGAGCTGGCAAGTTATGATCTGAAGTTTTAAAAAGTGAGTAAAAGCCCTATTAAGATATAAACAGAAATAATAAATAAATTTAAATCCACACAGCATTTATCTTATTTATCATTGACTAAATAATTTTATATAGTATTTAAAAACGCTTTCTCATAGATATTGGGTTAGGAAAGTTTGTATTTTAGCTTGCAGTAATCGATTTTGAATCATGTAAATTGAGAAATTAATGATTAATCTATTAGATTCTATTTCAATCTGTATTAATACAGAGGGAAAAGAAAAAAAGTGGTTGTAAATGACTCGCTTACTCCTTTATCATTACAAATGATATGTAATTTGCTATTGCTATATATTGTCTACCTACAAAAGATACGGGGGGACTACTTGAATTCCTTCTTCCAAGTGTAAAGCTAGAATTTCTGCTATTATAGAGCACTAATTGCCCTCTTTATAGACCAACTAACACTATCTAGAAATTTCAGCTATTGGAATCGAATTCTTATTTCAGATTAAGCTTATCAAGATGTTAGATAAGACAATTTTCACTTTGATGCTAGCTTAAAGCTAAAAATATTGGCTCTTATAATTGTAGATTAGAGGATAATGCTTTCATTCGCCTCATTTTAGAATCTGCTACGAAAATTGAGATTAAGACCTCTAAGTAAATGGAATTCAATAAATAATAACACTCAGTCAATGTTAAAGATGTCATTAGCAAGTTTAATAAGTTGATATCTAATAAGAACTACAAAGCAATTTCTATTGAAGGAAAAACTAGACCAAACAAACAGGCTCAGAGCTAGTATTATGCAATTAAGCTCTCTCTTCAACAAAAATAGCTAATTTAGACAGCAAAATTCTCAGTTGATAAGATCAAATGAATGATAAAAGTGAACCCTCACTGTGATTGTATCTCAGGACACTCTTAGTATATTTAAAGATTCAAAAATAAGGCCTGATAAATCAACAACTCTCTCAATAGGAGTGAAAACATTAGTGAAATGACCTTTTAGATTAATAGCACTTAATCATTAACTCTTCTTAGTCTCTGCTTCCCAACTTCTGCTGTTATTATCTTTTCTATATTTTGTGAGCTTTTGCTTTGCTATGACTTAGTGTCTACTTATATGTTCTTATTAGCGATATCTTTGTGAATTTCTTGCCCTCATATATTTCTTTAATTGTAGCTAGTCCATTTCAATAGATTCATTCTGCGATGAAAGTGGCCATATTTGCACTTAATCAGAGGAAATCTATTATCTTAGATTGAGCTTTGGATGATATAGTTACCGGCATTTAATTTACTAGAATTGGGACATCTATTGTTAAATTTACTACAGAGTAAAGCGATTCCAATAGAGAGTGAACTTAGGTAAATTAGTAAATCTTGAAGCAAATGTCATAAATTTATGAAAAGAAGCAGATCATTTGCTATTATAGCGACCAGACCCAGAATAACTTAAATAGAGTGGATAATAGCAATTAATATTGCAGAAAGATAGAATGACAATGTGAAAATTTATATTATTATTTTTATAGAATTAATTCAAAATAACAAGCTTTGCTCACTCGCAATATAACTTATGACTCTTTGGCGCTTCTTTCTTGTTTCTAAGCCATCCATTTGACCTGCTCACTTTTAATAGCTATGCAAATTAAATTTCAGCGGTTCTTTATAGTTAACAATACTGAGCAAAGAGAAACACTTCCTTCATGTTTGACTTATTAAAGTCCTACTCTTTTGTTTAGTCAAATGCTAGCTGTAAAAGTAAAAAGAAACAATACTGCTTTAAGTAGTCATAATTTGTTATAGTTGACGAATTTTTTATGTTTTTAATACATACCATCAGCATCTTAGATTGAATTAATTCTTGGTTATAAGCCACGAATCCTCCAAACTGCTTCAGAATTTAGGAACATTAGGAAATAGATCCTTATTGTAGTAGTAATACTCCTGAATCGAGTAGCCAATTACATCGCAAATATTACTAGTATATTTTCCATAGACTCTTCTCCTTTTATTTAAGTCAGTTTCTAAGTCAAAAGGGTCGAAAGGATCATCTACTCCCATTATTGCATGAGTCAATTCATGAGCTAAAAGCATAAGAATTGAAGTATCCTTTGTTCTGTCATTCAAGTGAATACTATTGGAAGTAGGATACACTGGGGATATAAAGAAAACAGGATAGATTGTTATTTTCTTAGAATTAAGAGGGGTAAGTGCTGCAAGATCAAGATTTGAAGGTAAAGATTTTGGCTCAATAATAACTGAAACAGAATTAGCATTTTAGCCAATATTAATCAAAAACTCGATAATAAAACTTTAGGTCAAACGCCAAAACTTAGCTTGATCAAGAATAATGCATTAATATCGTGTCAATCCTGATGAATACTTTTTAATTATATCTATAGCCCGATTTTAGATAGTAGTGCTTGTTGAAGTTGTATCAGCAACCATTTGTTTAGCTATAATACTTACAATACTGATAATTTATTAAACCAAAAACAATGGAGTCTCTTTGTAAATGAAGATATACCCAATATTAAACTTCCCGCCTGTATTTTTAATGGAGGCAAAGAAATTTAGGCTGTTTGAGTTCAATTATATCAAATCATAGCCATTGTAATGTGGACCTATATTGTTATTTACGTGTTATGGATCGCTTTTATCATCAACTGCTTTTGAGATACCAATTTTGTTACTCCCAAAAGTCGAAATTTCAAATCCCACACTGAAAAAGGCTTTATATGCATTTTTCAAATTGTTTTGAGATAATTAAATATTCTAAAATCCTGAACTCTAAGATAAAAAGTTGTTTACTGATGCAATTAAAAAGCAATTCGATTCATAAAGTTGCCATTAAGTATAATATTTACTTGAAGAAACTTCAGATTTCATAAAGCTTGTCTTTGGATTATGCACCATAACGCATACTTTGATTAATACATCTGCTTAGATTTGATAGAGATTTCTTAATTAATTTTATTGATCGGTGTTTGTTGGTCCATACTAAGATAAGCAGTCACTGACAGATGGGTTCCATGCACTTCCTTACCAATACCCTTTATTGCTTGCCATGTAATCTCCATAGCCATAACAGTCCCAAGTATAGTCGATATAATCTTATTTACCCCATGTTGTAGGATATTCAGCAATTGGCAAGTGAGGATTTGATTCATTCTTAAACTTGTTAAAGATACAACTTTGAATAGTAGTGCTCCAATAATCCCTATAGTTAATCTAACCATTAGCAGCTGAATCAGCATTTCCTAAGCACTAATTTATATAATCAATGAATTCTCCTTTTCCCCAACTTGGTGGAGCGAACAATTAGTTAGCATTGCTAAAGGAAGAATCAGCAACTGGCTGAGAAAAACTTGTTGTGAGAGAGTTATCTTGATATAAAAGTGCGATAGAGGCTATCAAAGTAGTAAGAAGGCCAAGAACTACGTAAATAGTGACCTTTTTACTAGAAGATTTGGATTTGGTTTCATCAAGAAGAAGATCCCCTCCTTACGATTGAAATATCATTTAAAATATTATTATTAAAAAGTAATAATTAGGGGCTTTTATACTATTAAAAAAAGCAATAATTTGGGGCTAGGAAGCATAAAAATTCCTGCCTTCAATGTAAGAAGTATATTTTCCCTGGTATGTTCTCAAAATCTAAAGTATATCCCTAATTAGAAATTTCTCACAACAGACAAATTTCTCTAAGAAAACTTCATGTAAATTCGACTTTTTACTTAGGGAATATAATAAGGAATCACTGTTCAAGTAGAAACTGATTTTAATATTTTTATCAAGTTTATATATGTTTTGATTTGATTGATTTATTGTTTAATACTGCTACACCATTTTTGCAAAATGTATGCATCTTGGGGTTTTGGGGTTTTGGGGTTTTGGGG